GCCCCCCTCTATGAGCTGACCCCACCTTTCAACCCCAAAACCGCCTTCTTTCACCCTAAAAAATCCCCATTATTTGCTCCTTCCCACCTTTTTCACTCCCCTCATGGCGTCACCTCAATTTTCAGCCCCCAAATCCCCTTGGTTTACCCCAAAAAAGCCCCTTTTTTTTGGGGCCTTCCTCCTCATACCCCCCCCGTGCATGAGGTACCTCCCTGTTCAGCCCCAAAATCGCCTTGTTTCACCCCAAAATCCCCTTTTTTGGGGCCTAACACCATTTTGGGGCCTACCCCCACGAGGTGACGCCACCTTTCAGCACCAAAATCGCCTTGTTTCACCCCAAAACTGCCCTGGTTCACCCCCAATCCCTATTTTTTTAGGCCTTCACCCCTTTTTACCCCCTCTGTGTGAGGTGACCCCAATTTTCGGCCCCAAAATCACCTCATTTCACCCCAAACCCCCACTTTTTTGGGCCTATCCCCTTTTTTCATCCTCCCCCATGAGGTCGCCCTAATTTTTAGCCCCTAAACGGCCTCGTTTCACCCCAAAACACCACCATTTGAGCCAAACCCCCTCTCTCACCTCATTTGCCTCAGAAAAACCTTCTTTTCCCCCCCAAAAAAAACCCCACTAGGAGCCCCCAAAACACCGTGTTTCACCCCAAACCCCCCCCATAGGCCTGGGATTCCATTTACTGAGGAAACTGGTCGTACTGGTGTTACTGGTCACCCCTCCCCCACACTGGCCACTGCCCCTCCCCCCGTTTTACACCTTCCCCTCTCCCCCAAGGCCATTTTTGGGTCATTTCTTCACGTTTTCCACCCATCTACCTCACCCTTCACCAGCCAGCGAGGTTTTTGGGGCAAACACCTGGGTTTTCTTCTTCCGGAGGGGGAGGGGGGGGAGGGGGGGGTTAATTTTGGGGGAGAAATTGTTATAAAGTGGTGATAAAAAAAAAATATTCACAAAAACAACCAAAAAAAAAGATAAATAAAAGTGGGGCTGGTGGGCGCCACTCTCAAGATGGCGGCGCCCTCCTCAAGATGGCGGCGCCCTTCCCAAGATGGCGGCGCCCCAATGCACCGCCTATGGGGCGGGGGGAATGTGCCCTTCCCAAGATGGCGGCCGCGCCCTTCCCAAGATGGCGGCGCGGCGCGGACAAAATGGCGGCGTCCTCCCCCAGGGGCCCCGCCCTCTCCCTCCCCGTTTCCGCGTTTGAATAAAACTTTATCGGGCGGCCGGAGCCGGGCAGGAGCCGCAACGGAGGCGGCGGAACCGGGGCCGGGCCGGTAACAGGCGAAGGGAACCGGGAGGTGGCGGCGGAACGACCGGGAGAGGCCTCAAACCCGGCCGCCGGAGCCTGCGGCCTAGTCGGGTTGCGGGGGCGGGGGGGGGGGGGGGGGGGGGGGGGGGGGGGGGGGGGGGGGCGCGTAGGCCTGGCGGGCTGCCCGCGGCCTTGTAGGCCTCGCGGCGGGACCCTATAGATCTATAGAGGGGAAAAGAACCCTATAGAGGCGGGGGAAGGGGTAACTGGGGCCCTATAGGCCCTTTGAGGGGTGGCCGGGGCCCTGTAGGCGCTTGGAGGGGGCCTGCGGCCCTATAGGCCCTTTTTGAGGGGAGGGTCGGGCCCTATAGGGGTTTGGGGGGTCCCGGGGACGTATAGAGCAGGGGAGACCCTATAGCTCCCTTTTAGGGGTGTCCCAGGACCCTATAGGTCGTTTTGGGGGTGTCCCAGGGCCCTATAGGGCAGGGGAGACCCTATAGGTTCTTTTGGGAGTGTCCCAGGGCCCTATAGAGCAGGGGAGACCCTATAGCTCCTTTTAGGGGTGTCCCAGGGTAGGCCTGGCGGGCTGCCCGCGGCCTTGTAGGCCTCGCGGCGGGACCCTATAGATCTATAGAGGGGAAAAGAACCCTATAGAGGCGGGGGAAGGGGTAACTGGGGCCCTATAGGCCCTTTGAGGGGTGGCCGGGGCCCTGTAGGCGCTTGGAGGGGGCCTGCGGCCCTATAGGCCCTTTTTGAGGGGAGGGTCGGGCCCTATAGGGGTTTGGGGGGTCCCGGGGACGTATAGAGCAGGGGAGACCCTATAGCTCCCTTTTAGGGGTGTCCCAGGACCCTATAGGTCGTTTTGGGGGTGTCCCAGGGCCCTATAGGGCAGGGGAGACCCTATAGGTTCTTTTGGGAGTGTCCCAGGGCCCTATAGAGCAGGGGAGACCCTATAGCTCCTTTTAGGGGTGTCCCAGGGCCCTATAGGTTCTTTTGGGGGTGTCTCAGGGCCCTATAGAACAGGGGAGACCCTATAGGTTCTTTTGGGGGTGTCCCAGGGCCCTATAGGTTCTTTTGGGGGTGTCCCAGGGCCCTATAGAT